GGACCTGGACTCCAGCCACCAGCGGATTCTGCTGAAGCGGCCAATGAGGTGGGGCTTTCATTCCCTTAGGATCACTGGGAACTGAGCTTAGTTTTATGGCTAATCAGGAATTTTCCAATGATTTTTTTTGTATGAAAATACTGATTTATTGAAACTGAAATTCCTTGCGGAAACATTTCAGTTTCAATGGACTTACACCAAAACACAGGCCTGGTTTCCTACCAGCTGACCTGGCGGGGTGTTAGGGGGCCTGGCATTTCAGGATCCATGGAGTCAATGGAGACCCTGAGTGTGGCAGCCCTGGAAGCTGCTCTCAGGTCTTCTAGGCTTGTCACTCCACAACGGGGGACTTTCGGGGCAGTTCCTGACTGTGGGGGATTCCTGGGGCTGGGTGCCCCTCAAAGCATCATGAGCAGCCCAAGGAGTCCTTTGGAGGTGGGCAGATGCTCCATATTTTGTTTTGAAAAAGTCAAACTGAAACATTTTGATTTTCCTGAAACAAATTAATTTATTTTCTGTGGGAAATTTTGAAATTTCTAGGCTATGTCTTCACTCGAAACAATTTCAATTTTCTAACCCTCTCTAATATTTAGACACTTCATAAAGGCCTGATCCAAAGTCCCAGTGAAATCGTGGGGAGTCTTTCCACTGACTTCCAGGACCTTTGTATCAGGCCCTAAATGGTCGAATTTTCAGAAGAATTGGGCACCCAGCAGCTCCCAGTAAACGGGATCTACTGTCTTATGCTGTTGGAAATCTTTCCAAACTTTTTTCTTTTTGTTGAAAAATTTGGATTTTTGACTAAACCAGAAAAGTATCCATTTTCCTCAAAATCTTTTGAATTTGGGCAGTTTTGGCCAAAAATTATTTAGTTTTTAATAGTTATTGACCACATTTTTATTTTGGGGGGGGGGGATAATTTTGGGCCAAAATTATTACAAATTTGGGCCAAAATTATTTTGGTTTTTGAGGTGTTGGGCTGAGAATGTTTTGGGGCTTAGCAGGTTTTTGACAAATAGCTGTTTTTTTCTGTGAAAACTCCTCCCATTTTCCAGCTCAGTACATCTGAAAATCAGTCCACTTATTTAATTGCCTAACTATAGATGTAGGAGCCTAACATTAGCCTCCTGTTTTTGAAAATGTTAGCCATAATAACCCAGCAGCTATTAACCAGTTAATCTGTTTCTGCCTTCGGTTAGCAGAGGAGTTGTTCATGCAGCCTCTGCTACGTTTAAAGAATCACCTCATTCATGCTTTGATTACCTTTCTTTTCCAAGGAACGCAAGGTCGGAGCTACAGACCAAGCCACTGGAGAAGCGGAGACAGAGGAGCAGAAAGAGGGGAAAACACCGGATAGTAGAGGTAACCATTTCATTTCCTGGTGTGATTTTTTTTTTAGAGTTGGGTGAACATTTTAGACAGAATAGTTTCCATGCAGTTTTGTCCAAAATGAAACATCTCATTTAGAAAATGTCACAATGTTTTGTTTTAATAATGTTGTTTTGATTCACTTTGTTTTGACTTTTATATGAAATATTAAATTTAGTATCACATGTATGATATTTAATAATATAGATATGATATTAAATGTTTAATAGAATGTAAAAGTCAAAATAACATGAATCAAAATGACACCATTGAAATAATACATCAGGCAGATGGGGTGGGGCTGGCGGCCTAGCCTCCCTGAATGGAGGTTTCAGCCGCTCCCCGTGACTGTGAGTTTTGCTCATCAGAAAATCAGCAGGGGTGTTTTTCTGGGAAAAATTTAGAGGAAAATAATATATATTTTAAATTTTTTTTTGCTGAAAACTTAAAAATAAACAAACAAAAAAAATCAGTTTTCAGCAGCCAAAACATGAAAAGTTTTCAGTTTGGCAACACAAAATGTATTAATAGACACATTCTGCAAAAATGTTTAAGATGAAGACAAAATTTTCCCTTGAAAAAGCATTTTGATTAATAATTTCTGACCAGCTCTAACTGTGAAATTAATTTTTTTAAGTAGATATTTTTCAATTTTTACCAAAATTAGCTAAAGAAAGGGGCCAGGGATGGGTTTGAACTAAATGGGAGGCTGACAACTGAATGGGAAAACTGTGGGGTTGGGGGGGGAGGTTAGGGCTGTCAAGCAATAAAAAAGATTAATTATGATTAATCATGTGATAAAAAAGTTATTCACGATTAATCATGTGATTATTCACACTATTAAACAACCATTTATTTAAATATTTGTGGATGTTTTCTACATTTTCAGAAATATTGATTTCAATTACAACACAGAATACAAAGTGGACAGTGCTCACTTTATTTTTATTACAAATATTTGCATTGTGAAAATGATTTTAAAAATAGTATTTTTCAGTTCACCTCAAACAAGTATTGTAATGCAATCTCTTTGTCGTGAAAGTGCAACTTACAAATGTAGAATTATGTACAAAAATAACTGCATTCAAAAATTAAACAATGTCAAACTTTAGAGCCTACAAGTCCATTCAGTTCTACTTCTTGTACAGCCAATCGCTCAGACTAATGAGTTTGTTTACATTTACAGGAGATAATGCGGCCTGCTTCTTGTTTACAATGTCACCTGAAAGCAAGAACAGGTGTTCGCATGGCCCTATTGTAGCCAGCGTCACAAGATATTTACATGCCAGATGCACTAAACATCCAAAGTGAGCACTGTCCACTTTGTGTTCTGTGTTGTAATTGAAATCAATATATTTGAAAATGTAGAAAAACACCCCAAAATATGTAATACATTTCAATTGGTATTCTATTGTTTAACAGTGCAATTGAAACTGTGATTATTATTTTTTAATTAATCACGTGAGTTAACTGTGATTAATCGACAGCCCTATTTATTATTCTTATTCTTATTAGTGTTGTTTTTATTAACATTTGGTTTAACCAGGATCTGGAAGTTTAGAACCAGAAATAAATGAAGGAAATGAAGAAAATGAAGGAAAACCTGAGAGTCCAGGACTTTTGAAAGGTGTCCTGTCTGGGCAGGAATCAGGACCTGGATCCCAGCTTCAGGCAAAAACAGAGGTAGGAGTTATTTCCAGGTTTATGTTTTAAGTCAGCTTAAACAGCTGTTTGGTGGCAGCTGGGTGGGAAGCGCTAGGAGGTAAGCGGAGGAGTGGGGATGCAACGCGCTCAGTGGAGGGGGGGGGAAGGAGGTGGGACAGGGGGTGAGGGGAGCTTGGCTGCCGGTGGGTGCAGAGCACCCACTAATTTTTCCCCGTAGGTGCTCCAGCCCCAGAGCACCCTCGGAGTTGGTGCCTATGGGTCACCCCATCTCAGAAAGGATAGAGCAGAATTAGAGACTTGAGAATTGGGTGGGGGTTGACACCTATCTGGTTTTCACTTGGACAGTCTGGGTTTCGGCTTGTGTGTCCAGGTGCCATTTGATAAGCCCTGATATCCATTTTTTTTATCGGTGGGGATGGGGTGGAAGAGGCAGAGCAGGGGGTGGGACTTGGGGGAAGAGATAGAGGAGGAGGCAGGGCCTTGAGGGAAGGGGTGGAACAGGGGGTGGGGCTTGGGGAAGAGGTGGAGCAGGGTGGAGCCTCAAGGGAAGAAGTGGATTAGGGGCCAGGCCTTGGGAGAAGAGATGGAGCAGGGGGCAGGGCCTCAAGGGTCCGGTTACCAGCCATTAGACAGGTGGCAACCCTAGATGAGAAGGATCAGGGCCTTGAGACTTATGTGCGAAGAAAGACTGGAAAGATCAGGATTATTATTATTTATCTGTGACAGTGCCTACAGTGTGCTGGGAGCTGTACGAACAGAGAACAAAAGATGATCATTGCCTCACAGCACTTACAGTCTAAGTAGGTTTAGCTTGGAGGGATGGTGAAGGGAGGTTAGGGTATTAGCTTAGCCCTGAGGATGTAATGGTTCAATTCCTTGCTCCCCCACTGACTTCTTGTGTGAGCTTGGTCATGTCAATGCCTCAGCTTCTAATGTGTACAAGAAGGGTTGTAGCCATTTCCTACCTTCTAAGGGTATTGTGAGGATAAATACAGTAAAGGTTGTGAGGTGCTCATGTATTATGGTAACAGGGGCCATCTAAATACCAGAGATAGAATAAGAGGGGGCGTGATGGAGGACTTTAAAAGAATGAATGGCAGACAGGAGGTCAGTCAGGTGCTTCCATTTATGCTGTTTCATGATTCAACAGCAAAGGACAGATTCAGTTAAATTGAAAGACCGTGAGTAGCTATTTCTTTTTTGGAGAGTTAGCCTGTGGAACTCACTGACACAAAGGTATCTTTGAGGCTGAGAACTTAGTGGGATTCCCAAAAAAGGGAATGGACATTTATATGGATACATATATGCACAGTTCAAGTAAATCTGGTACAGCCCTTGTGTGCGAGAGACAGCGCGCTCTCTGGGCTGCTCCTGGCCTGACACAGGGATGCATTGCCCCTTATTTGGGGCTGACAGTAACGTTTCCTCAGGTTTTCTTCAAGCTCAAGATCTCAGAGAGCTCCCTGGGGGCCCAGGCAGCTGTTTTGCTTTTGGATTTCTGTCTAGGCCTGAATTTCACCCCAGTGAATTCCTGTTACAGGACATAGAATCACAGAAACTTAGGGCTGGAAGGGACCTCGAGGGATTATCTAGTCGGGGCACCTGATCTGAGGCAGGACACATTTGGCCCTTCTCAGGGCTGTACTGAGCTCTCTCAGGGCTGT